GCTGGACTTTGTCAAAAGAGAGGTTATTATACAACAATTTTTATATAGTTTGATCTCATAACTCGATCTCAATAAATGAGCACCACCTGAAAATTGGGAGCCTGATAACTTTGCTCCTGGAAAATTTAGCAGCTCGAGGCGTGGTGGTATTATGGGGGCTGGCCGGCCAGCTTTCTTCTTCTGCTAGGCATATGCAGATACATAGTCAGCTTTACATTCATACATAATTGACTAAATCAGATAAAAATATTAATGGAAGTAATTGCGATAAACAAGTCTTGGCATGACAACAAATTTCTGTAGAAGCGAGAATATCTAGGTACCTGATCACTGGTGCATTGGCTGATCCATCCAGCTCAGCAAAGTTCAACTGGAGTTTTTCATAAATAACGTGGTTGATAAGCCGTCATCAAATTAAAGGGTGCTGTCGTTGTTTTCGTATTGCTTGGCCATGACTGCTGGAAGTTTAGGTTATTCCAATAATGTATAGATTTTGGATAATTACGAGAGCGACAAGCAGTCTGCTGAGTCTTAAATCTTTCGTGCCTGCTGAACGAACGCCAATCACGAATTAAAGAGATTGCACAACAACTTATAATTATAATTATCTTGCCCAATTAAACTACGGAATCAAGGTCAGGCCTCCAGATCTCGCTCTGAGCTGGTAGCTGCACTCTTATTGAACAGTTTCAAGTCTGTTTTGTATTCAAACTTCCGTATTATATAAAGGAATTGACGATTTTTTCCACTCTCTCGATGCGATAATAAACTTATAATTCAGCAATTTATGTAAATATAAATTTTATTAGTTCACATTAAGAGCAAACTGGTGTTGACAAAAACATGGTTGGTTGGCCATAATATTTGTGCATCAGCGGATTAATTAATTGCGCTGAAGCGATGTGCTTCTGTACGTGTGGTTTTTTCCTGAATAAAAAAATGGGACCTGATCTACCTGATGTTTCATATGTGGACAGCAATTGACGTGGCACAATCATTGACGAAATTAGTGAGAGATTCGTATTGATTACCAAAATCCAAGAATTGACAGCCCATAACAAAATTGCATTAAAAAAAAGAAAGGAATGTTTTGTATTGACGAGCACACATGATATTGATTTCGATGTGATTGGACCTCTAGGCTAAGGTCAATCAATGCTGCTACTAAATTGGTTTGGCAGCAGGAGTGTGACGGACGGACCACGGACGTCTTGTGTGCCAATAATGATACTCTTTCCTACAGACTACTGGTGGACGATGTGTATATACAATTAATTAAAAGCCCATTTATCAAGCTTAATTAGTAAACTTATATAATACAGTAGAATCCAGCTAGTTTAAACAAAAACATAATGATTATTTATTATTTGCCAGTTTGCATAATACATAATTCGCCATAATAATAACTGTATGGGGAGAAAAGTGTTGTATAATCAAATAGGCACCGAGTAAAATCATGCATATAACTTCTTAACCCTTTTAATCAGTCAGTTTATATAATACGAGTCTCGTCTGCATTTACATCTTTTAGTCTGTTTTTGTCCACGGCACACGAACAATACTTTAGCTCTGCACGTCCTCCTCCTCCTCCTCGTCGTCGTCGTCTGGGTATAAGTTACTTAAATAAATTCCATTTTTATCCACTTTGAGTAATTAATGACGCGAGTGAGTTGGGCGAAGATATTGCGATACTTGTGTTATAGTTGAGTTCGTGTGTGTGTACTGTGTTGGATTGTGTCGCGATTGAAATGTCCACAGGCCAACCGATGATAAGACACCACAAATACCCTCGGTTATCAACCAAAGCCCAACCCCAACCCAAATACGTGAACCAGAACCAGAACCACAATGTGCCATTTCATAACTATATCCATGTTTTTTAACTGCATTAATAACCTACGTTTGGTGGTGTGGACAAGTCTTGTCCTCCTGCTGTAAGTACGGACAAATTGCTACTCGTTCCATCATCATCATCATCATATAGCTAAATTTTGGTATTTCTCTCTTTTTATAACGAAGTGTGGTCAACAAATTCCTCTTTAATTTGAACTATCAATTTCCAATCAATCCAAACTCTGGTGCTTACTGGGCACCATCAAGGAAGACATTTTTATTGTGTGTGAAGTGCTTCTACCACAACTTTCTTTCTTCTACGTAAAAATACTATTCCAGAAATTTAGCATCCTACATAAAACATACAAATGGATTATAAATTTGACTCTTGTGTGAATCGTTGTTCGTCCATTGATAACAATCCGTTGACAATTTAGTGTGGGTTTTAAACCATTTAAGTTAATATATCATAAAGTGATTCAAAATGGAAACTTGGGACGAGCACAATTTCGAATTGGGTGCAAAGTTGTCTCTCCAAAATTTAAGAATCATGAATAATAAATATGATAATTGGATCCCTTCATCGCCCACTGATCTGTTTGCTAAGAGAAGTGCACTGCCTACCTTGACTGAGGTATAATCATCACTAATGAAAAAGAAGAAAAAAACAATGTTTCATTATAATTGTACAAGAACTTTAAACTTTTTTTTGCCAAATAATTGAAGCAACCAGACTGCCAAAGTAGACGGCAAATTCACACCTTGTGGGAATATTGGTTTTATATGCATATCCATAAATTAGTCTTACTTTAATTGATTAATAATATCTAGTAAGCTATAAATCATTAATTAGCTGTCACGGCTTCTGTACCGCACTTCACGAACTTGCATCTAGAAAGAAACGACTTGGGCAAGATTTGCCTATTTTTGGCAGAAGTTGATTGAATTGCAGTTGGCAATATGTAATTAGCAGACATTTATCTTAATAATGATTCTCGCTCTGACGAAGGCTTCGGGATTCCTCACTCCAATTTGAGCTGAATATTTTTTGATATAATTGAGAAAGGTTTTTTTTACGTGACGCAGTTATGCACCAAAACCAGTTGGATGTCTTGGGAGTATCATTTTCATTTACTTTCCTCCTTGAATCATTACCCCGACTCAAACTCACCTATAATTAAGACAAGTTTAGTATGAAGAGGACACATAAAGAATAAAAAAAGCGTCTTTGTGCTTGACAGAAACCCCGAACACCGATGGTGTCGGGTTGGGTTGCATGCACAAGGACACGAGATCGTATTCCACGACAAAATCAGAAATCAAAAAAATTAAAATGCGAAAAAAATTCTAATTTTCCTTAAGAAATCGTCCCACAGTTTTTCAGCATGGTGCATCAGTTGTACTTTTGTATGCATACAATAATTTGTGCTACAGTGTGATATCTTCCTTTATTATGGAACTTTTAACTAATTACACTTGTAATAATACTATTGGACAAGTGTCAAGTTACAATTTAATGTTATTGTCAAATAAATGCTTACTCTGTTTGAGTTTATAATTGTACTGGTCAAAATTGGAGAGCTGGATGAATGAAGTCGTTCGTTCGTTCATTTATATAAGTTTGAAGAATGGAGAATATTTAGAGGAGGACGAGAAGATGAACCACCAGACCACGCATTGGTGGATTGGTTTCATGGGGAGATAATTGATTATAAACTAAAGAAACCTAATGATGCTGGACGTAAAAGGCTATCACCAACTAATCCTAAGCTGAACTCCTACTTCAGTGCTTAATGTGAATTTTGAATTGTGTTTCTGTACAAGTCCTTTGCACTGCCTGCAGAACACACACAAACTCTTAATCTAAAATCCATGTTTGATCTGTGTGAGAGAGAGGAGCAGAGCCTCCCCGGCGATAAAGTCGCAGTAGGTGCTAATGCTCATCTTTCAACAGGTTATTTGAAAACAAAGAGCCCACTTGTTTCATAAAAACTTGTTCAATTCAAATGTCTACTGCGCTGATCTGGTAAAGTTGAACTGGTAAAAACTCATACATTCGTGGTGTTCAATTCTTTGAAATTTATTAAAGATTAAAAAATACTCTATTAAAAATGCAACCTATTTGTTACACCATATCTCGACTTGATAAATCCTATTGCAACATTCCCTCCATCCACTACCGGATGACCAAAATAATTAATATTTGAATTAAGACTAATCCTCCATTTTTTTCCTGGTAGCATTTTTAACGAGGAGGCAACTAAGCTGCTGATTATGAAACGGGTGTGGCGTGGGCATCAGTTGGTAAAATTCTGGTCAGGTTTCTCCCATAATTGCTGCAAGAGAGGTTAAGAAAAAGGATCTCGGAGGGGGTCCACGCCACAGGTGCACAGACACTTCCACACACTCTGTCACATTTTGGAAAACATTTAATCGAGATGGTAATTGTTGGCGAACACGTGGCATGCACATATAAATTTCTGCAGACATATGTATGTAGACACCTGAAGAAAACTGTACGTTAACTTTTGGAGTTGTGGGCTGGAAGCTGCGTTGAGATGTTGTGGTGGACACACTTTGTAGTGGCCGTTTTATATTATTATGTATGTATTTTCCCTCCCGGAGAAGTTGGACACCATCAAATAAATTAAGTTTATGTCATGTCAAGATGTCAACTGGTTGGAAATATTTGCCTGTTGTTTGGGTTTGTTTGTTAGCTGTCTCATTCACCAAGGTGACATTATTGCCCAATTAATGCAAATTTGGAAGTGGAATGGTCCATTTAGTTGCTAATTGGCAAGTGGTGCATACCCATTAAGTTGGTGACGCTATGAAAAAAAAACTCCTAACCAATGCACCAACATAACGCTTGGTGGGGGAAAGTTGAATAAATAAGTATGTGATCATACACACGCGGTGATATAAGCATACAATAATACTGTAATAATTTCTACGTGACCACATAATGCTCCCAAATAATAATGATGCGTGCATCCCAAATGATACGTATTATTCTGGCATGATTGGCCATGTCAGCGCCAAGCTATCAAGAGATTATCTGCCAAAGTATCTGACTCAAATAGTGACTGATGATGTAAGCTTGTGGAGAATGTGGAGAAAATGCAAAGTGCAAAATGTTTATTGTTTGTTGTTATATTAACTTTCAGATGGCCGATACGGAGGAGCTGGGGAGTCAAACGGCACTGAATGGCCAAAACATGGGCCTCCTTAATGGCGTCCAGTCAACGGGCAACGTGCAGGTACACAGTACTGTATGTCGCCCAACCTTTCTCTTTCCGCTTAGTACACGACGCGACGAGTACGCCACGCTAATCTTCTTTGTTGGGGACGTGTCATCAGCACGTAATATTCTTCGTTGACATCAGTTTCCGCACAAATTTTAAGATTCGATAAGGGGAAAAACTTGTGAATAATAAAAAAGAAATTGTATTACGTCGACACGGCTTCCGCTAAAAGAAGACGTAGCGTACTCGTACTCTTGTTAGTTGTAGATTAATGTATTTAACACACGCAAATGTCTGCATAACTTTCACTTGTAGTCTGGGCAGCACGAAATTTATCTTGTTTGCTACTAATTCACTTTCCGCTGTACTTGCGTATATATATTTCGGCAAGGATGAGGTTACGAAGCGGTGTCACCAACCACCAAGACTTTGATAGTTATATAATTTGGACGCGTAGATGAAGCGAGTAGATCAGTGCTAAGTGATTTTCTCAACTTGATTCGCAAAATATTGACATTTCAATCGTATTCTCTGTAAAAGTCTAAAAATACGTTTTACGACACGCCATTCTGCGAGATTATGAATTTCCAAGAATGGCAGATTGTGCAACGTGTTCATTCGTACTAGTTCTAGTTTCGTTAACTACATAAACCTTCTTTTTCGCATCTTGGAGGATGAACCTTACTCATTTTTAAGTGGCAGTGTACAATTTTTTATTTTAAGTCAACAAACAGATTGAACACAAACTTGTACATTTTTCCGAGCCTTCCTTTGAGTTGTGCTTTTATTTAACTGTTTCAGAGCAAAGCCGCAGCCTTCCAGCGGATTAACTCCTCACAGTCCCATGCACAACAAACGGTGAACTCGTCTCGGCGTATGGTGTCTTCCTCCCTCTCCTCCCACCACCAAACCAACGAAACTTCTCAGCACGTCTCCAAGCAGTCATCAACTCAACACGTGAAATCAAACTTGAGCGAAATGCAGACTCGAATGTCGCAAATGAAGGCCTTGAGTAGTCACACCTCGTCCTCCGAGTCGCAATCCTCATCCACAAGTTCGTCAATCAAGAGCGGCCTCTCGCCCCTCAAACTGATCACAGATTCGAAATCGAAGCATCTGAACGGAGGTGATACTCCTCTCGACACCGGTGTTGTCCTGGTGACAGAGGTGCCGTTCCCTTCCCCCACGGACATGCAACTTGCTCCACATTTGGGGGAAATGACCAGTATGTCCAACACCCCTCTGGAGAGCCCAAATCTAGTCATGAATAATCATCCAAACTCATCAACCGTTGGTCCGGATGGGACACAGAGCTTCCGTTTTGAGCAGAAGAAAGTGGCGTCGTCCTCGTCGACAAAGGTGCGAAGTGGAAACTTTAGTGCGGAACAGAGCTCGGCGAATGCGGCAGAGGTGAAGAGGGTGCAAACGGGGGATGTCAATTATGAAGAGAAACAGTCCGCGCAGGCCATGAGACAGAAGGTGGAAATGGATGGAGTCACGGCAGAAAAATCGGCCGCCCTTAAAAAACAGCAAAGGTTGGGAAATTCGGTTTTGGGACGGATTTTTTTTTAATTTTAGGGAAAGATACTAATTCTGGCTTTTTAACGTAGGTCCCTTACTCAAGGTGGTGTTACTGAGGAAGAAACCAGAACGGCTGCAGCGGCCGCAATGAAGTTATCTACGGACACATTCACCGCCGAGAAACGAGCAGTGGCTGCGGAGCAAAGGAAACAAACGCTTCTCGCTGGTGAAGGCACAGTTATCAACTCGGAGAAACGTGTCACGGCTGCGAGTCAGTCGAGGCTAACGTTTAAAAATCAACTGGCCTTACCCTCATCCTTTGAAAATGGTACCCTGAGCCATTGTTAATGGAATGTAGAAAAATGTTTGGCTAAAAAAATAATCAAATTTATTTTATAGAACTCATATTTGAAGACTTGGACTCTTTAGGTTGGGAATCGTCTAACACGGACGTCAACAAAGTGACAAGCAAGTATTCTGAAGAGTTGGAGGGAATCGTGGATCAACTACTGACCTCAGAGGAGGAAGCAAACAACTCAGTGAACCATCTCAACTATGCGTCAGGGGTAATGAAAGCCGCCTGGAGCGTTCCGGGTCACGGGAATCAAGTGGGGGTTGACCTGTGCGACACATTCCGAAAAGCGGGTGGCCTAGATCTTGTGATTTCTAACTTTAACTCCAACCAAAAAGACTTGCGTGTTGCCTCCGCCAAACTCCTAGAGGCTTCACTTACTCCAGACAATTGTAATTACGTTGTCGAAAAAGGATTTGACTGCCTGGACAAAGTCGTCAAAGTATGAACAGTTGTTTAATAACTAATATGTATTAGTCATAATTATGTGTTATTTTCATTCCCAATAATTATTAATTACTGTCTGTAGGTCGCATCAGAGCTCTGCGAAGTTGAAGAATCTCGAGTAGGGACGGGTCTCCTGCGACATTTGTTCCGCCACAGTGAAGAAACTTGTAGTGACGTCCTCCGCCTTCATGGCCTGGAGCGTGTGATATCAGAAAGTCGACGTATGGATGTCGAGACGTTGCGAAACTGTGCTGCAGCCCTGGTCAATTTGTCATTGTACGGCGGCGCTGAAAATCAAGAGGCCATGATAAAAAAGAAAGTCCACATTTGGCTCTTTCCACTCGCTTTCCACCAAGATGACGTAATCAAGTACAACGCTTGTCTGGCCATTGCGGTCCTCCTGGCAAATAAGGAAATCGAAGCTCAGATCATCAAGTCGAGTAAGTTGTGGGATGAGAATTGTTTAATCGAATTATGGATGTATGTTATTTAATCCGTTTTATGCAAATTTATACATGATTGATTATCCTACAGACACCTTACAACTGGTCGAACCTTTTCTCATGCATCACAATCCTGAAGAGTTTGCCCAAACTAGCCTAGGCGGTCAAGGTCAAATCGCCCAATGGCTGATGAGATTAGTTCCCGTTCTTTCGTCCCAACGTGAAGAAGCATGCTCCATTGCCGCATTTCACTTTTGGTAAGAATTGAATATCATAATTTTCGTACTTGCAATGTGTTAATTTCATGCCTTAAATTCTAAACAGTATGGAAGCCGGCATCAAGAAACGTGAAGGGACGACACACATATTTAAGCAAATAAATGTAATAGAACCACTTAAACGTGCAGCGTCCTCGCCCAACGCCCTCGCATCCAAGTTTGCAGCTCAAGCGTTGAGAATAATTGGAGAGACGGTGCCACATAAACTGAGCCAACAAGTTCCCCTCTGGTCCATCGAGGACGTCCGGGAATGGGTAACCCAGAAGGGTTTCGACAAGAATGCAGACTCTTTCATGACCTCCCGAGTGGATGGTGATCTCCTGCTACAACTCACGGAAGACATGCTCAAAACTGACATTGGCATGGAAAATGGTATTCTACGCAAACGGTGAGAACCTCAATTTTCAAGATGCTAGATTGAGTAGTTATTTATTTATTTATTTGTGAATTATGCTTCATTGCAGATTCATGAGAGACCTTAAACATCTGAAAAAGATGACGGACTACTCAAGTTGCGACTCCTCGCTACTTAACGACCTTTTAAATAACATCCACCCAGACTTCTGTGCCTATACTTACACCCTAATTAATAACCACGTGGACAAAGACACTTTGCGCAAATGTATTTCTGAAGAAGCCCTTGAAGAGTGCGGGATTACCAACAGTATTCATCGCAGAAGGATTATGGAAGCAATCAAAGGTATTGAATTATACGCAAAGGAATTATGTAAATTGATTGTCTAATGTCTGATTATATCTGTTTAGCCGAGGCAAATGAAAGCCAGACATCAGAGGACAATCCAGATAAGCCATTGGACGTGTTTATAAGCTATCGACGCTCCAACGGCTCTCAACTTGCCAGTCTTCTCAAAGTTCATTTGCAACTCCGTGGGTTTTCAGTGTTTATTGATGTGGAGAGACTCGAGGCTGGAAAATTTGACAATAATTTGCTCCAAAGCATTCGACAAGCTCGACATTTTCTCCTTGTTCTCACGCCAAACGCTCTTGACAGATGTGTCCAAGACAATGACTGCAAAGACTGGGTTCATAGGGTAAGAGCTACGCCAGCCGCACGCTAGATATTAAAGTCAATCAATGTGCAATCACCAAGATTATTTTTATGTATAGGAAATTGTTGCCGCATTAGATTCACAGTGTAACATTATTCCAATTATGGACAATTTTTTATGGCCTGAGACTGAAAATTTGCCAGAAGACATTCAACCCGTGCTTACTTTCAATGGTGTCAAGTGAGTACATGTTTTATTTTGTAAACTTTTACCATTTAATAATTGGCTATTGTTTAAATTCCAGGTGGATACACGACTACCAAGAAGCATGTGTAGACAAACTGGAGCGATTTTTGCGTGGGGAGTCCGTGTAAGAAGAACATGGTTGATTTTGTTCACCGTATAAAGCGCAGTTACTTGAACTTTGCAGTGCCTTGTTGATTTAGGACCGACCCCATAATAAATGCCGCTCGTGACCGGGACCGTGATCGAGAACAACAGTCATCCGGCTCTTCCTCCTCCACGACGCGACCTTCTCAACAATATCAACGAACCTTGAGTGTTGGGTCAGAAGGAACTCGCACAGAATCCTGAGATCCCACCACCACCATCATCACCACAAACCACCAACGACCTACCATTAATTTACCTGCTTAGTTGTATGTTTTCTTAATTTGTATCAATTAAAGGAGTTTCGTACAGTGATGATATACAGTTGACCATGAGGTTAGGACGGATGAGCGGCAGTGCACAAACGCACTACTTTTTATTATGAAAATCAATTTTAAAACCCACGTTTGACGCCTACTCAGCACTACCGTTCCTTTCCCTGTTATATAAATTCTTAGTAATATGACTTATTTTATGGGCTTCACTGCTTTCATAAATTTATGTAAACCTTGTTGCCCTTATGTATAAGAGCTGATAAAATTGCTGAATTCGTGTGCCAATTGCCGTTTTTGTTCTTTAAAATGTAAGTCTTCTTACAACTAAATATCTGCTTAACTTTCGCCGTGTTAAACAGCAGATACATTTATTCATGAATTTAATATTTTACTTTTAACACGTATAACACTTATCCCATTTGTTAATTATTGAATTTTTTGCTAATACATAATACCCCTACTTACGAACGCTTCTTATATATTGTCGTCTTAGTTTTTATAATAGATCTGTCCTCTGTTGAGTAAATATATCGTATCGTATCGTTACTATTACTTATGGTGTAATTTTGTATCGTATTAAGATAACTATGTTTATTTAGCTTATTAATATTCTATACGCCCGAAGATACAAAATTACGAAACATTACGGAAACTTTGCAATATTCAAGTTTTAAATGCTAAAAATAATTGCAATTCGTATACATGTGTTATATTATTAAGTATATTATTATTGTATACCTCTTCATTTTGCAATTGACTAACCCAAGAGCTTAGCCATGTTTTCATACTGTAGTTTCATAAATAGTTTTATGTGTGCCAAGTAATTATATAATTATGTAGAAGACTATCTTCTCCCATTTATTATGTTGCTTATTAATGTCATTGTTACTTTAAAGGACAAAACTGAATTCAAGTTTGCCAAACGTTGCACATTTTGTCGTATGCCTGAATCTTTGATAATATTACCACGCGTTGTCTACTAGTATCTGTTGTGTGCCTTAAGTTTGACATATTTTCTCCAGGTATTTGCTCTTTTTTTGCATGTAAACCGAACTTCATCGGTCTCTAATTAATCTTTCTGAAAGGTTACCGTGATCTGCTTTTTGTTTAGTGAATATCCTTTGCAGTTAAAAGAGAGGATCTTCTTGGTATCTATAAATATTATTCGTGTGCCACTTGAATACGCCGTTATTTTAATTTTAATAATTATGAAAATACTTAGTTTACTTCTTTAGCGTAATTTCAAGATCCAATCGTGTTTGTACAAATTAGACCTAAAACACTGGTACGACATACGTAGTGATTATCATGCGAACCTGGTATGCGTATGCTATACAAGTCTTCCCAGCAGTTGACTCAAATCTTTGACTTTTGATTGTAACATATATAAAAGTAAATATATATAGGAGAAAGTATAACAGTTGTGTACGGATTTAGGCTAGTGTGACGATGACGATATGCGTAATATGTGCTTTATGAATTATTAGGTGCAATAATTAACTTGTCACGATTCTTATGAAAGTATATGAAGATTTTTTATGCGTACCGGTGTACATGTGATTCTAATGTCTCAAGTTTTTATTAAGGGTATTTGTACTTGCATTTAAATTTACTAATCGTAGCATGAGGTGCTAATAAACTTTAAACTTCAAAAGCAATTCTGATGCAAAGGTTTGAACATTATTTAATTTTGCACGGAGACATTCATCGTTCAGGTTGAGTGATGGACCCAGTTCGTAGAACTGGACCAGGAACCGTAGAGGGAGGAATGTGTTTTGTAAACAAGGGCACATTCCACGAAACCTTTCTTCAAAACGCCAAACAATTTGCGCAATAGAGGACAGAGGAAAAGAACTTCCCAGATTTTGTGAATCCTGTAATAATTGGCGAGTTGAGGAGAACGGTAAGCAAATCCTGGATTATTGACTGTGACGAAATTCATGGAAAATCATTAATTACGGGGCGAGAGCATCTTCCAAAGTTATTGATATCACGTAATTGCATGTAAGTCAATAGTTTCATATTTCAACATAATTCTATGTACATACGTATCTGGTTGTATCATTAAATCATACGAATAATCGATAACAAAATGAGGGACGACCTCAAATGTTGGCAGATTATGCAATTATGTAGTTCATGCAATTCGACAAGAAGCTACTGAAAGTTTTCGTGTAATCGTGGAATCGTGTAAATATCTTGAGCCGACTGCAATTGTCGACGTATAGAAATTTTATTAGTCTCATTCCTATCATTTCTGTCGACAATCAATCTGGAATAATAAGCAAGAGCAAATGGAGCTATGTCAAGTTATCTCGAATCGCAAAATTTCGGATTATCGAAGTGAAAAAACCCCTTGGGGTTTGACATACTCAACTTGACTGAAATTTATGTGCGTATGTGCTTATCTGGATTCACCATCTTAAGCAGCGTATCTAGATTCATTCATAAGACCCTTAATATTTTTCCTCTGTAAGCCTGGAAAAAAATATGGTCACGACAAACTCAACCAAACTATGTAAGGCTTTAGCTAGATTCAATTTGTTCTCACATTCTTGCCTATACGATTAAGTGGTTCGTGATATTGCATCATATTACAACGTAATGAACCTTGGTTCGCATTTCGTCAGGCTCTGGTAAACTGGGCTCTGGCTCGACGATGCTTTCAGTCAACATGTCTGAAACTTTCTCATCATTTCTTCTCCTCATGCTACCTACGTGTATATGCACGCCTTCTAAAGGTGCAAAGGTCGTCTGACAAACCGTTGCACTCATCCTGATCATGTCTGCACTTCACTTGTGGGGTACTCATAAATTACCAGCGGCAGTAGCACCTACGTCAGACCATAATTTCTTATGATTCATAAATGGAATAAAACCAGTCGGTCACTAAAACATAAAAAATGACGTCAAAATCCGGTACGGCCTCTCCTCCTTCGCTTGATCGAAATACCGATCATATTTCATTCTACAATTTTAAGCCTGTATAATTTTAGGGATGCATGCCCACCACTCGTCCTCCACCTTGATGCTTTCTCTTCAAAAGAGACAGCCAGACAGAGAGGGAGAGAGTGGGAGACAGCGTGTTACGTGCTAATTAGTTCGAAGAGGGGGTGGTGTAGCCTGCATAATGTGCAACCTGCACCAATAGTGGGAGCAGTGGGTGGGTGGGAGTGGGCCGGATTTATCCGGTGAAGTGGTCCCGTCGTCCTCGTCCTCGTCGTCGTCGTCGTCGTGGTCGGAGAAAGTGGCCGAGCGAGGGAGAGTTTCCAGCATATTGACTGAAAGTTGAAGAGCAGCTGCACTTTCTCCGAGTATGGTCAGTCCTCCGTGGGACGACGAGTTGCCAAGAACACACGCACTCGCTTTCTCCTTTCTCTCCTCCTCTCAGCTGAGAATCCACGACGAGGACAAAGTAATCACGTTCCACTTGCTCGGACAAGAAATCCAGTCTGACACGAAATTCACTCTGTCCTCAATTAGTGTACTAATCCATTATCGTCATCCCTTATTTACTAAGATTACTGGGTAAATTAATCCTGTGTACAATTGTGAACAATCGGGTGAATTGAGGAGCAATTTAGCTTATTTATATTACTGAAATTTGTCAGCATTTAATGATGAATGCTATCAATTCGAAAAAATGGGCGAGTTGAATAACATAACTGTAGGAAGTGATTAGAAGCTAGCTGATTGCATGTGGTTGATTACATTCTAAATTATCAGAAGAAAGCTCAAAAAAGAGAAAGCAGTCAGGTTGTGCATCTCGTGGAAAAGTTATTACTTCTCTCGGAACCCCCAGTCGTCGTGGTCCAACACAATACAGAAAAACGTTCGGCCTGCTGATTTCCTTTCGTCCACCGTTTTTTTCATAGAACGAGACGAGAACCATAATGGACTTAATCGGACGATGTAATGATAATGGGCTACGAATTAAATTAATTAGTTGCACTTTCTTACCATCCATCCTCTCCACTCTGAACTGAACTTTGAGACTGCAGTGATCATGAGTTGGGTGTACACGACGACAATCGCCTTGGTCACCGTCGGCTGTTACGGTCACTGTCTCAGCTGCCCCCACCACCGTCCGCATTTCCACCTACACCACGCCCACCTTCGATCCCCATCTCATTTCGTACATCATCATCATCACAATCACACCAACGTCCTTCCTCTGCTGCCTCATCGACACCCACAACGACGCCCAGCCCTCTCGGATACCAATAACAATAGCATTTTTAACCGAAACTTTCCCCTTCCTGGACCTGCTGGTGCTGCTGCCGTTCTCCCTGCAGACCACTGACATCTGACCATGTGAGTGTTTCTGTAATACGATTTAGTCTTGATACATCCATCGCCTTAATTGACGAGTTTTTGCTCAATTCCTGGATTGTATTATTTGCACTGAATTGTAGCCTCTTACGAGTCCTTGCACGTCCGACGTGTAGCCTTGCGCCAGTTATCTGGGGACGAATTGCTTCGAGCGAGTGCAAGAATACAACAAATATCCATCACGAATAGGATAACAAATAAATCGGAGAAAATTTGATTCCTTCCGATTCCATGTAATAAATGTGAATGCGTTGGCATCATGTATGTAGATGTGATGGAAAGATTGGTTGTTGCATAATCAACGTATTCAGTTTCGCACGCCATGAGTCTACAAGAAGACGATGATGAGATACATGTATTCAGCTGAGGAGGGGAGCTTGCGAGGTTGATAATAACAGATCCTGATGCCCTTTGGATATGTGGTAGGGACCTATGAGTGTACTAAAACCCTGAAGTGGTTTGACTCCATAGCCACGTTTGCGCCCGCCACACCCACTCAAAAATGCCCAAAAACCGCTTTCGCTCCAGTTTTCACTCACTCAAATCCACGCCAAAAATCCAATTTTGCTCGGATTTTGAAATTTCTTTCACCATTACACTCCCAGATAGTTGCTTTCTTCAATTCGATATCAAACTCAATATTTTCGAAATTATTAGTATTTTTAAAATTTAAAATTCTGAATGAGCAATGTTGTAGTAATCAACAACGCAAATTATGCCTGCGAAATAATCATCATCAAAATTGAGATTGACATTGGATTGAAGAAAGCAACTATCTGGGAGTGTAATGGTGAAAGAAATTTCAAAATCCGAGCAAAATTGGATTTTTGGCGTGGATTTGAGTGAGTGAAAACTGGAGCGAAAGCGGTTTTTGGGCATTTTTGAGTGGGTGTGGCGGGCGCAAACGTGGCTATGGAGTCAAACCACTTCAGGGTTTTAGTACACTCATAGGACCCTACCACATATCCAAAGGGCATCAGGATCTGTTATTATCAACCTCACAAGCTCCCCTCCTGAGTGAAGGTTTGATACCATTTGTTGCACTCAATCGTGTCTTCTTTCGTATCAAATATCCACTCGCTTACAAAGCTCCCTTCTTTGAACTGGGGAAAGCATTACATTGCGCATTTTAAAGGAAGGAGTTGAACCAAAGAGTGAATTAATTTAATCGAATATTGACTATGGCGTCTCAAGTTTCCTCTTTTCTTCTTTTCCTCGCTAGATCAAACATGAGTAAATGCGACGTGGGGAGAAAACCCTGCAAAATTGAGTGAAAGTCTGCTCATTGTTAAATGCGCATACATATTAAAGACATACATACGTAAGTACATACAACTTTTACGCTCGGAGTCTCCATTTGAAAAATCAAATATGCCAGCTTACGCAATCGAAATAATTCGCAAGTTAAACCAAAAAACCATACAAAACTAACTAGTACTTACGAGGGAACCTTTTATAGTGCCCGGAGCTCCCAGCATATCCACTATATACATTAGACGCAGTTTTTAATACTAGTCCTATGATGTGACAAAATCTCCGTGTCAAAATGACATTTGGTCAAGCGGTGACGATTTTAGTGACGCGCCGAACGGTCATTTTCTCCAATGATTTCAATAGCCCAGCTACTTTTCGCCACACGCTCCTCATCTTGCTACTGAATTCTTAACTCACTGAGCACACTGGTACTTAATTTAACTATATTTACGATATCATTACAATTTACTATTCATAGCTTATCAATATTATTTTGCGTTCGAATTTGAAAGTTGCAAAATTTTCACGAGCACTTTTTGAAGAACAAATCCAGTTGCTATATTTTTCCGAATAGTTTTTAAACTCCAATATTTTAGAGAAAAAAACAATATTGAAAACTTGTAAATGGTAAATAAATTGTAATGATATTGTAAATATACATAGTTAAATTAGATGCCAGTCTCATCGGTGAGATGAGTGTGGAGCGTGTAGTGAAGAGGTGAAAGGGTACCTGCACTACTAAAAGCATGGAGACCGTGACCGTTCCGCGCGTCACTAAAGTCGTCACCACGTGACCAAATGTCATTTTGACACGGAGATTTTGTCACATCATAGGACTAGTATTAAAAACTGCGTCTAATGTATATAGTGGATATGCTGGGAGCTCCGGGCACTATAAAAGGTTCCCTCGTTAGAGAAGAATGGGTGGAGAAGATTGGCAAAATAAATATGAAAAGATTCAAGCAGACAAAATTGTCCTTGTGTAACTTTTGTACTGGAGAAGAAAGTTTGCGTAAGAATTACAGAACAAAATTGGAATTAATATTCACAAAATTAGAAGGCGGATGAAATT